GTGACAGCCTGAAGTGGCAGGAGGCCAGACTAAGTGTGAAATGCCTTGGGATCTTGTCTAAGCACCATCACCTGATAACCATGAAAATCTTTATCAGTTGCACCTTTCTAATCTGTAAAATTACTGGAAATAGAAATGAAAAACAAATTTGAATAGTCTACTGAGGAAATAACCATTATCATGTACCACCACATTATTGATAGGGAATGAAAGTAGAATGTATTTGAAGATAACTGGTAGATTGAGAAACTGAGAGGGGGTAGTTGGAAAAATGATTTGAACATCATAACTAAAGAGGTAGCATTGGAAAACCTAGTTGAAGATGTGGAGATGGAACCTACTTGAAGATGTGGAGATGGAATGTCATAATGCAGTTAATGTGTCTATTTACTGCGTTTTGACTCATATTTACTTATTTCATTCCAAATAGTTGGAAATGATAGATGGAAGGCTATATACTTCTTTTTACAGATAATAAAATTGTGGCACCTAATATTTAACTGTTTAGTTCTAAAAATGATTTAAGGACTCTCATAGACCAAAGCAAAACAAAATATATTACCTTACAAATAGTTCACTAACTCACTGTATTTTTTAAAAATATCAGTTTTCACTTATCTTTTTTTTTAAAAAAAACATAGCTGTCATCTTAGGCTGCAAAACACCTTTTAACTGACACTAGAATGATCTTAATTTTATTTTATTTTTATTTATTTTTTAAAGATTTTATTTATTTGTCAGAGAGAGAGAGAGAGAGCACAAGCAGGGGGAGCAGCAGGCTTCCTGCTGAACGAGGAGCCCAATGTGGGACTCGATCCCAGACCTCAGGATCATGATCTGAGCCGAAGGCAGACCCTTAATCAACTGAGCTGCCCAGGCATCCCTAGAATGATCTTTTTAATGTTTGTACAAATGAATTCTTCATTGCTTCCTGAACCTTTATTGGAAAGTTCAGTAGGAGATGTAACATAAATATAATTAATGCCTCACAGACCAAGACAATAAAATATATTTCATCTTAATTCCAGACTAATTTTTACTTTGATTTCCTGGAATCTCATTTAAATATTAGAATGCCAAGGTACCTTCAAAAAATAATCAGTGTTACAAAATTCTGAGATGATTATTTCCGAAAGAATTCATTTACAGAAAATTAGTGTTTATCATTATAAACATCCTCTTTTCAAATATGGACAGTGATAGTCAATATAATGCTGTTTGAGAAGCTGGAGGGTATAGACTGAATTTGGATTACTTTTATTGACATTCTGGCTTTGCCACTCAATGTCTCAGAATATTTATTTGTAAAATAAACAAGGTAATGTTCATACTAACCTCAGAGGAATTTTATAAGGTAAAATGAGAATATAAAGTCCTTAAAACCTTAAAAAATTTAAGGTTAATGGGAATATAATATTCAAAAATATGAAGTGTTTAACATTTAAAAATAATACAAAAAGTCTCTGAAGAATATAGTCAATTTCTTTCTCTCTCTTTCATTCTTTTCTCACCCCTCAACCACAAGGTAAGGATAAACTCTGTGAATGCTGTTTTTGTCTGTTTAGTTCACTCCTGAATCCATAGCACCTAGAACTGTGCCTGGGCACAGAGTATATATTTGGTGAATGAATGAATGTTGCTCTACTTTTTAAACTTGCTGTCTCATGACTAGAAAATTTGTTTTGAACATTTTTCTTTATTATGTATTCCCTTTTTTTAGTTGGTGAATCAAATCTTATAATTTTATTTTCTGCTTTTGCTGTCATATATCTGCTTGTTTACAAGTTTTTTTCTAAAGGATGGATTAATTTAACTTTTAATTTTTAATTAAAGCAATCTAGTATTCAGGTATTTCCATCTGATTTGCGAAGCGTGGCAATAACTGCTAGTGAATTTCTTTTTATGTCACTTTTGAATGGTGCTGAAAGTATGAAGATATAAACACACCAAATTTTCTATCCTTTCTGAGTGTTTCCTTCGAAGTAGTCAAATTATTCAAATAATTATTCTAATAGCTCCTTTTAAGAATCCCTTTTAGAGCAAGTTTACTAATAGGAAAAGAAATTCAGGCTAACACTTTATGCTGATAGAAGAGTGTCACTTGATATGATACCTTTTCTTCCCTTCTGTTTGGTTTTCAATTCCCTTTAGCCAGGTATTCCCCTTTTTCTTCTCTGCGATTTACCTCTGACCTGGTCTCCTTCCACTTAGAAAGCTGTGACCCTGTGTAAGCTTGTTCTTCTGTCTGACTTGTTGGCTCTCTGAGTTGTCTACTAACTCTGAAGTGCCTGAAGGGGCAATAATTGGATGAAGCGTTGAGACACTGAATAGCCAAATTGTAAATTGAAGATTCTCTGATCTTCTGAGCAAAAGGAAAATGGACCTATAAAGATAGTTATGCTAACAAACTCAAAGACACATAATGGTGCATTTTTGTTCTTGGTCTCAATTTATGTGAGACCAATACAGACAGTTTCCAATAAATACTTAAAAATTTTTTTAAACTAAAAAGACAATGTTTTGTTTACCCAGTCAGCATTTTTGAGGTCCTGTTAAATGCTTGGTTCTTTAGGGCGGGGTGATACCAACTGAAGAAGTAGTCACAGTCTCTGTTCTGAAGCAATTCACATTACAATGTATGGGTTCAGCCATATAGAAGAATATACACAGGGGTATGGGAGCATCAGGGAACAAAGGGTTGGTTCTGTCTGTGGGGTCGTCTGTTGGTGCTGTTAGGGAGAACTTTGTGGAATGAGTCATGTTTAGATATCAGAATTTATTTCCTAATTGGGAGAAACAAAATCTACCGAGTAAGGATAATTCTAGGAGAGGCTGTGCTATCGCTACCCATGATTGTTCAGACATGTAAAATATTTGTAAGATTGGACGGGCTTATTCTTCAACTGGGAAACAATACCTTATGTGTACAGCCAAGAAATTGCCAAAAAATTGGTCTCAGTTGCCTGTTCAAGTAGTCAGGCATACCATTCAGATATGGAATGGATTGCTCTTGTGGTACAAAACCTCACTAATTGAGCATATATGGGTGGCTACTCACTAGGAAAAATATAGCTTAAAAAACTCAAACAAAATATAATGCTTTTATTAGTGAATATTTTTACACTAATTTGTTTTCTTATATATCTGATGTTAATCAATAGTGATTCTATAAAGGAGAACTTAATTTTAATTTCATGCTAATGAGTTTCTGCATATATCGAATTCCTTATCCATTTGAGGACAAGATTATAGAATAGATACTAGATTTTGTCATTGTTTTGGCACATATATGATTACTTAACGTTTTGCTAATAGCATACTACTACGAATAGCATAATAAATACCAAGTATCATAATAATTAACTAATGAAGCTGATGCTCCTATAAAGCACATTTTAAATAGACTCACTACTTTTTTAAACTTTCTAGTTTAAAACCTGATATGACCAGTGCAGAGCCATTAGAAAACATTGAAATCCCAAAGAAACTTCTTTGAAGGATATTACTCTTTTTTTTCCCCCTTTTTGGTAAAATGTCTGACAAGTTGATATTAGTTTAATAATAAAAGAAATAGAAAATATTATGGCAATTTAAAGAAAATGAAGACTAGCAATCATCCCTGTAAATATACCACTTAAGTAAACTCTTTGTTTATTTCTATTATATTTTTCCTTTCTATTATTTTTAAAATATGAATTTGTTTAAATTATTGTAATCATGGTCTCTGTACATAAATACACAGAGAGCGTATTTGTATATATGATTAAGTGGCAAGATATATATTAAGGTGTTTCTCAATTTTTTTTCCACAGTTCTTTTTTTATTTTTTATTTTTATTGTTATGTTAATCACCATATATTACATCATTAGTTTTTGATGTAGTGTTCCATGATTCATTGCGTATAACACCCAGTGCTCCATGCAGTACGTGCCCTCTTTGATACCCATCACCAGGCTAACACAGCAGTTCTAATGGTAAAAGTGATTAAACACATCCCAGGATCTTATTAGAAGTATCTGTTGCAGGGGCTCCTGGGTGGCACAGTGAGTTAAGTGTTGGACTCTTGATTTCAGCTCAGGTCATGATCTCACGGCCCTGGGATTGAGCCTGGAGTCGGGAGGCCGTCCCGCCCTCAGCGGGGAGTCTGCTTGAGGATACTCTCCCTCAGCCTCTGCCCCTCCCCCTGCCCATGCGCGTGCTCTCTTTCTTTCTCTCTCCAAAATAAATACTTCAATCTTTTAAAAAATAAATAAAAGAAGATGTAAGTTTTTAAAATAAGCTCTATGAGGGTGCCTGGGTGGCTCAGTCGGTTAAGTGACTGCCTTCGGCTCAGGTCATGATCCTGGAGTCCCAGGATCGAGTCCCACATCAGGCTTCCTGCTCAGCAGGGAGTCTGCTTCTCCCTCTGACCCTCCTCCCTCTCCTGCTCTCTGTCTCTCATTCTCTCTCTCTCAAATAAATAAAATCTTAAAAAAAAAAAAATTAAAATAAGTTCTATGAGCTCTAAGAAATTTTCTGGTTTCTAGCAATGGACACTTTTTTTTTTTTAAGATTTATTAATTTGAGAGGGAGAGAGCATGAGCAGGAAGAGCAGAGGGAAACAATCTCAAGCAGACTCCCCACTGAGCATGGAGCCAGTCCTGGGGCTTGATCCCAGGACCCTGAGATCATGACCTGACTGAAATCAAGAGTCAGTCACTTAACCCAGTTGAACCACCCAGGCGTCCCTTGCATCTTTTTTAAATTAGGAAGATATTTAAATTCCCATATCTAATTATTCCCAGTGAGTGATACAGTAAATTAGATGGTTGAAGAAGATGTGTCAGAGGTAAATAGAATTTCATTTTTTATACTATGGTTCTGCTCCTATACCCCAAGCATTGTGGAAAAAAGGCACTTGACCAATAAAAAGAAATAAATGAGTATACCCAAATAGTCCTAAAAGTATAACCATAAAGTATTATTTTTTTCTCATCATCTAATGTATTTTTTTTTACAGAAATGTTTAAATGTTCAGTAAATCGGAGGAAAAGAACATGGACTTTTAGCTACTGAAGAGCAAATTAAGGTAACTATTAGATAATTTTTGCCAATCATAATTGTTAGTAATTTCAAAGTGTATTTAATATGTTTCCATTCAAGTTAGTATATGTTTTCATGAGGATCATATTGAAAATTGTTTAATGAGTTACTTAAATGTAATTTTGTATATTTTTGGGAAAATAAAATTGACATTTCTTGTGGACAAATAAATTTACATATTTAAATTTACATATTTGTCTACAAGAATTGTCAATTTTATTTTCCCAAAAATATACAGAATTCCATTTAAGGAGGTATACTCTAGGTAGATGAACAATAAATGTGTTATTAACAATAATTTACATTCCACATATTAATAACATAAATGATTTGCATCTTCTTCAGCAAATCATTTGAAGGCAAGTAGGTCTTTATATTAATCAACCAACAGTAAAATTGGAATTTCCTATGTTCTTGAAGTTACCATGTTAATTTCTGTCAAGTGACTTTGTAATATCTAGAATGTACATTATTATAAATATACAGCTTAAAAGTAGAAATACCAGTTTTCTTATTCACATTAAATCATGTTCATTTAATTTTGAGTTGTTGATTTAATGGTATGTATTATAAATTATTATAAATCTATTTTAAAAGATTCTGTACTTTTTACTTGGAGAGTACTGAGTAATTTAAGACTATAAAAATATTGCACTCACCTTTGTAGGCAATAAAATTTCCAATTGATATTCCTTCTTTTAGATATTTTTGCCTTAATTTCTTTGCCACTGCTTTCTTCAGCACATTCATTCACATAGGCAAACGTTGTTTCCTATTTCCCACAGTAGATATGATTGAATCTACTTTATATGTATTTACTAGCTTATGTATACATTAACATATAAATTTTGCAGACGCTCTTTTACTCTGTTGAATATGAAATGGGTTTTTGGTACTTAGTGATACAAATTAGTTAAATAAACAAAAACAGCCTGATTCAATTGTCTTTTTCAAAAAATTCAGCCATGCAAGGCTGAGATATGCTTGCTCTGGAGAAGTTAAATGCTGGTGGGAAAGATACGAAACTCTATAGAAATTACTGTATACATTTTATAAGAGTCACTGGCAAACTGTTAAGGAAACAAAAGTGGGAGCAAGTCACTGTTGCTGGAGGCTCTTGAAATCCTCATAGAAGTTATGAAATTCACTGCGGGGCTGTTGAGGCAGAGAAGGTGAGGTCATGCATTCCAAGCTAACAGAAGAGCTTATGAAAGGGTACACAAAGGAACAAGGAATGGCCATTGAAAGATTGATATTTCTAATGTTGCTGAAGGATTACTCATGCAGTGGGACAGTGTCAGGAGATGAATCTGGAAAAGTAGGTTTGGGGCAGCCATGCAAGGATCATGTTTGCTGGACTGGAGCTTAATTTTCCAGCCAAGATGTCTCCAGAGTGCTTAAGGGTATTTGTAGGGTTGTGGGAAGAAAATTTCAGAACCTCTCCTTGATACTCATTTTCATCACAAAATATAGGGAGGAATTAAGACCTTATAATGTTTAACATAATGACTGCTACAGGCACCCAAATACGAAGTTTTTAGAGGATTCATGGGGGTTTTTACAGTGTTAAATGATTAACAGTGTTTGTTCCATTGTTTTTTTTTTTTTTTTTAAAGATTTTATTTATTTATTCATGAGAGACAGAGAGAGAGAGAGAGAGAGGCAGAGGGAGAAGCAGGTTCCCAAGAAGCAGGAAGCCCGATGCGGGACTCGATCCCAGGACCCTGAGAGCATGACCTGAGCCAAAGGCAGACGCCTAACCATCTGAGCCACTCAGGCGCCCTGTTAAATTGTTTTTTAATTGTGATATAATTTTTATACCATTAATCCACTCTTTTAAAAAGTATACAATTTAGTATTTTTTGGTATATGCACAAAGTTGTGTAACATCACTATTATCTAATCCAGAACATTTTTATCTAGATTATACCCATGAGCATTTACTCACTTTTGCCTCTTTGCCCTGTTCCCTGGCTACAGCTAATATACTTTCAGCTTCTACGGATTTACCATAAAAAATGGAATCATACAATACGTGGCTTTTTGTACCTACCCTCTTCACAATGTTGTCGAGTTTTACCCTTGTTCTGTGAATCAGGACATAATTTTTTTATGTCTGAATAATATTCCACTTTATGGACATACCACATTTTGTTTATCCATTTATTAGTTGATGGACATTGGGGTTTTTTTAATACTTTTCGTCTATTATGAATAATGGCTGCTATGAACGTTTATGTACAAGTTTTTATGTAAGCATATGTATTCATTTCTCTTCGATATATACCAGTGGTAGAATATATGGTAACTGAATATTTTGTTGGAACTAACAAACTGCTTTCCAAAGGGGCTGCACCATTTCACATTCTCACCAGACATGTGTCTTGGTTTCACCCTATCCTTGCCAAAAGTTATTGGAATTTTGATTATAGCCATCCTAATGGAAGTCAGGTTGTATCTCACAGGATTTTGATGGCAGTGATTGTTTTTAAGAATATTTTAGTGTACCGATATTACGTGAGTTTGGATAAGTGCATTAACTGAATTAATGTCAATTTTTAACTAGACTACTCATATTTAGACAATTGATTTTAGAAGTGTTAAATAAAGATTACAAATTGAAGAGTATTTGATTACTACATGCCCAAAAAAATACAACAACAGCAACAAAAAATGGTGGGGCGCCTGGGTGGCTCAGTTGGTTAAGCATCTGATTCTTGATTTTGGCTCAGTTCATGATCTCAGAGTCATGAAATTGAGCCCTACATCAGGCTCTGTGCTCAGCATGGAGTCAGTTTAAGATTCATTCCCTCTCCCTCTGCCCCTTCCCCACCTGCTTGCGCTCTCCCTCTCCCTCCCTCTCCAAAAAAGAAAATAAATAAATTAAAAAATAGCAAAAAATAGCAGAGCTGATATTTTCTTTACTTGTATTATGGGATATTTTTTTCTGATTTATTATTTAATGTAAACATTAATAATCTATTTAGAGTTATTACAGATAGCTAAAAACTAAAATAATCAAGAAGACTATAAAATAGGGATTGGTCTCTTATAAGTGATTAAACTTGTCCTAAGAACAAATTTTGTCTTCACTATAAGTTAATGGTAGAACACAGCAACATGCATACAAGACTCAATAACATCTGGAGCACAAATAACCAGGTTTTTTTAGCAGTGTTTAAAGTCATGTTCAATCTAGTCATTTACAAATTTTCACTGAACTTTGATAGATGTTTAGAAGCCTTATTTGAGATTTCCTGCAGAGGAGGAATAAAATCATTGGAGAAAGCCTAGAACTTTCTGCTGTGTTCAAAATGGCTAAAATCACACATGAAAAATTATATGGCAACAATAAAAATTTCTCAGTAAATACTATTGGAAGATGATATTAAAAATACTGCTTTTATCAAAAAAGTATTCAAACAAATTATGTTGCATGAAAGATTCACTTTATTTTTCTTTAAGATTTTATTTATTTATTTGACAGAGAAAAAGAGAGAGAGAGCACAAGCAGGGGGGAGTGGGAGAGGGAGAAGCAGGCTCCCTGCTCAGCAGGAAGCCAGGTGCGGGGCTCCATCCCATGATCCTGGGTTCATGACCTGAGCCGAAGGCAGATGCTTAACCGACTGAGCCACCCGGGTGTCCCTGAAAGATTTACTTTAAACTTTGTGTATTTCCATATCAATTTATGTAAATTTATATTTGCTAGATTTTTTTAAAAAAATCAGGATTATTTATGCATAATTCATATATAGTAAATTCACTCTTTTTAATGCCCAATTCTGTTTTGACAAACACATAAGGCTGTGTAAGTACCACCAAAATCAAGATAGAGAATATATCTGCCATCCCTGGAAGTTCCCACTTCCCACCACTATAGCCCTGAGAACCTCTAGCTTCATTCTATTTTAGTAATGAAATATAAAACCAGTCCTGAGAGAAAGCAGAGCAAAGAGGTCAAGTTTGAGAGACAGACACTATATATGACCTTGGAGGTGTTGCTTATCCTCTCTGGACTTCAATTTCCTTATTTTTAATATGGGGTTAATAAAATTATGTACTGTATATCATTTAAAATAGAGCTACGCATAAGTAAGCACTTAGAAACACTAAGTGCTTGGTAAAATAAACTATAATTTTTTGAACCTCAAAGGAAGGATGTACTGGAGAAAATACATTTTCCACAGTAAATGACTTCTGAATGGATTTTTATCCATTAAAAATATCCATCCAATAAAAAGTATTTTATCCATTCAATAAACAATAATTTATTTATTTATTAGACACAGAGAGAGAGAAAGTGCACAAGCTGGGGGAGGGTTAGAGGGAAAAAGGAGAGACTCTCAAGCAGACTCCATGCTGAGCACGGAGACCGACATGGGGCTCGATTTCACCACTCTGAGATCATGACCTGAGCTGTAATTAAGAGTCAAATGCTTAACTGACTGAGCCACCCAGGTGTACCTCTTTGAATGGATTTAACCACAAAATGTCAAATCAAAGTTTTCAAAATAATTAAAAATAAATAAAGTAATAAATAACAATAAGGACCTTTCATAAATGTCACTTTCAGAAAGCTTTTGCTTAATAGCTCTATTCTTCCGATTCCTTGGGCATAAATCCCTGGAGTGAATCTTGAATTTTCTTTTGTACACGTTGCACATCCATCAGCACATACTATCTGACCACTTCTGAACATCTCCTTGGCTATTATCTTGATCCAGATCACAGTCCCCTGTTGCCTAAAGAATTACAATAGCCTTCACTTTTCCTTGCTACATCATTTTCCCTGTACATCACTCAAGCCTGTTCCATTTTCAGTCTCCTCTGCATTCCAGCTATCCTGGCTTCATTGCCATTTGCTGAATACACTAACCCGTTTTACTTGGGATCCTTAGCCTTTTGGTTCCTTACCCAATCACCATTCTCTCCATGCTTATTTCCTAGGCTTTAAATTTCCTTTTCTCATGGCAGCCTTCCCTCAAC